TGTTTAAAAGTAAATAGAAGGTAAAAAACAGATAGACTAGAACCTTTTTGTTCCTTGTATAAATACAAAAAATACCTTTCAAGCAATTAAGAGGTCAAACAAGGAATTAAAATAATTGTGGAATGGATATTAAACACCAGTGTTTCAGTGTTTGTGCCTCGGTGCCAGTCTGCCAGCCATGAGGATGAGCCATAAATCACTCCTGAAATTAGGACTAAGTTTCATAAATTACACAAAGGCAAGATTTTTTTATGGTATCTTAATTGGAGCCTGAGGAAGGGACTTGATACCCAGAAGCTTATCCAGCAGCTCTCCCAACTATACAGTTGCCCCAATAAAAGATATCACAAAAGCTCCTTGACTCTTGGACATTTCCTGAACTATCATGACTACAACACTCCAGAGCAACTACTAAAGTACATAAGCACTTTAAAAATTTTTATCCATTGTCGCTATCCCCCAAACCAAAGTTTATAAGCATAGTGAAATGAGCAACAGCTAGACTAGACATGCAAAACAGTTAAAATACGTAAATGCACCCCAACAAGTGTAACTCAATCCTGTTGTGAAACTATGCTAACTCAGTGTTTATGATTTAAGGCACTTTGCTGTTCCTGGTGCAGATTCAGCAGTACAGATGTATTTGTTTGCATGACCAATGTGCACATTTTCATATCTTAACATGCTTTCATTTCTTTGAAGTGTAAGAATCTGGAATTCTGACTGTATAATGCTTGATTTTGCATATAATTAACATCCCTCTCTGTGTTACCCTAAATTCCTGAGATGTTCTCTCAACTCCATTTTTTACATACTTCACTGCTATCTTTTTGGCCTTTTTTAATTTAAAGTATTCAGCAAAAATTCTGAGCATGTAATCACATGATATATCTAATGATTTGAAGATATAAAGTATAAACACACAAACTTTTTTATAACATTTATAGCCAGATTTACTGATGTACTCTGGCTGCTTTATTGTACTCTGGAGCAACATGAAGCTGCCAGAGCATGCTGGCTGGTTAAGCTGAGTTTGTGGCTACTTTGCTTTACTGCAGTGGAACTCAACTTTCTAGAG